CACCAACATGGAGCTGGGAATCTGAAGGGTCTGGAGTGAATCTTTATGAAGGAATGGCCTCTGATCTCTTGCCAGGTGTTCTCCAAACTCATCAGGCATTATATTAGAAAACTCAGAGGTGTTATATTGGCAAAAAGAGGTTGCAAAAAGTATTGAATAAAAGGGTACAGTTCATTTTGTGTATATCGTGTATTAGAGAAAAACATTTATTTCATAAGATTTTCCCCCCATTTTAAATTCTTAAAATAAAATATTTTCACAGCACTTCATATTTACCAAGGGTACCAACATTTGTGTGTGTGTGTATATATATATATATATATATATATATATATATGTAAAGACATATAAGTAAAAGAAAATAATAAAATAGCAACTGCTTCACTACTTAATTATTATAAACAGTTAAATTTTTTTAATAATTCATCATTTAATTATTTATTTAGTGAGGACCCCTGAAGACCCTCATGACTATATGATAAGATCAGTAAGTCTCTTAAAATATCAGATAAGATTAGTTCAGGTTGTAAATGTTCATGTGGTGCAAATCCCTAAAAAAAATAATATTTTTGATTAAATAATTTGTAATATTCTTTAAAAAAAAAAAACTTGAAAAATATATTTAAAAACATTTTTGAAAATAATGATGGTTGCATGGCATTTGTCACATGACATTTCTTCAGGTCATTTTATTTAGAAAATGATAACGTTTTTCAAATCCATCGTGAATACAAAGAATACATTTTTGAGAACTTGGCGCATATGTTTTAAGCTATATATATAAAAAAAAAAAAGTGTTTTCCTTTTCTTTATTGCGGACAATTTTATACTGTATAAATATGTCATTGACCCAAAAGCATGTGATATGAATTTGAGCTTTCCCCAAAGAAGACTGTTACTCCTTTAACCCCCGTTATGATCACAGGAGGTGCGTGTGTGTTATGGTGGAGATGAGGTCCTCTGAGAAGTGCATGACATAATCATGGTCTGGAATGTGTTGCATGTTGTTCATGAGGGAGTGAAACACTGTCAGATAGTCTACAAGGGGTCATGTGAGACATTATTTTGTTATTTTCCTTGCAGTGTCCCTCAGGAATGAATATTATCTGATTTTGAAGTAGGATAAGGCGGCCTGCGGCAGTGTTAGTATAAAGATGGTTGTGAATGTATTGACCTTACCGCATACTCCACAGGATCAGATGCACATCAGCACCACATAAGGACCTGCTGGGAGCATTACATATTTATGTGTGTGCATGTTGAATGGATTCTGCTGTACTAATGTCTTAATATGCAGGTGTCCTGTTGGTAAGTATAATGCTTGCACAGGTTAAGTACAGAGGCAGCGTCCTCCGGCCAGCCAGCTCAAGCGCAGTGGCTCTTATGGTGCTGCTCCTTGCCCTGGGGACTGTCACATACTGAGAGCCATGCTAAGTCATGCCAGCGCCCTTGTGAGCACAACTCATATGAGTCTAGTGAAATCCCACTTTCCCCACAGGGACTTGCACTGGAACAGACTTCAGAGTTACTGAGCCATGTCTCTGTCACAGTTAATGTTTCTGTTATTTATAGCACTATCATATGGCATGTCAGTCATATGGACGTTTTGACCTTCACACAGGTTATGCAATGGAGAATAAAAACCAAAATGTTAGCACAAAAATGTTTCGGCTATTGGGACTTTAATCCCAAAGGTTACAGGTGAAAATTAATCGTGTTTAGTGATTCATACCCCTATGGTGATTAAGTCATAACAACCAGGGCCATGGACAGTAATGGGGGGCCCACTAAGGTCCTCTGTGACAGTGGTTCTCAACTGGTTTTGCTTCAGAACCCAGTACATTACACATCAAGTGACAACCCAATACATACCAAAATTATTTATCATAAGTAAATAAAAATGTCTTTAAAATCACACTGAATAGGTCCATAGGTCCAATAATATGCAAAATTATTAACATAAACTGGACACTAAAATTGACAGTGTTTTTGTGCATTTTTATTTTGTTTGTAGTTTTTATTTTATTTTTGTACGATTTTATTTTATTGTAATTACAAACATCCATGAAACACATTGAAACTGCAAAGTGTATAGTGACATGACATGTGGCCAAGTGCTCTGCATTTATCCCATCCAAAGTGCACACACACAGAAGTGAACACACACACACTGTGAACAAACACCCGGAGCAGTGGGCAGCCATTTTTTGCTGCGGCACCCGGTGAGCAGTTGGGGGCCTTGCTCAAGGGCACCTCAGTCGTGGTATTGAAGGTGGAAGAGAGCGCTGTACATTCACTCCCCCCCACCTACAATCCCTGCCGGTACGAGACTCGAACCCGCAACCTTTGGGTTACGAGTCCGACTCTCTAACCATTAGGCCACGACTTCCCCCAACTAGGTCCAACTATATGCAAAATGAATGACATAAAGTAAATAAAAACTTTAAAATCACACTGAAACTTGCATAGGTCCAATGATATGCAAAAAATGATTAACAAACTGGATAGTAAAATTGACAGTTTAGTAAATTCTGTTTTTTATTTAAAAATGTTTCAATTTTATTTGTATTTTTGTACATTTTTATTTTATTGTAGTATTTTATTTATTTATTTATTTATTTATTTATTGCAAATAAAAACATCCTTAAAGTCAAATTGAAACTGCAAAGTGCTTGGGGTCCAACAATTTGCAAAATAACATAAGCTGGATAGTAAAATTTTAAGTTTTGTTTTTTATTTTAATATTTAATATTGTATTATTTTATTTTATCATATCATTGTTTTCCCCTTCTATGTGGGACCTTGATATGAAAATGGTTTGGCTTCAACAGGCCAATCCATTTTTATATCACGACCCACCAGTTCTATGAGCCACTGATCTATGATATAACCTGAGTTTGCATAGCTTGCATTTTTGCAAGATGAACATAATATCTGGCCCAATTAAAGAGAGCTCAGTTACCAAAACATTGCATAAATCAAGCGTAGCGTTAGTTCTGGCAGGTCACGTTGACTCTCAGCTGATCCCCATCAACCTATGGGAATATGACACCTATCTAAGTATTCATATATACGGTCCCGCAGTATTATCAGCAGTTTTCGCATTGCTCAGTAGCTAATTACCCTCCTCCATCCCCAACTCCTCCTCTGTCAGTCAGGATTCAGCCTTCTGATTCTCCTTTGAATCAGACTAATTCTAAAATGTGTACATAACATTATTGAACTTTAACGATATCTGCAATACATTTATGTTGGTTCTGTTCTGTTTACCCTGGGGGGGTTATCGCTGCTCTCCCTGCTCTCATCCATGCTAGGCTGCATGGATGCGCAGGGAGTTCTTGCCCAGAACGGAACCATACCGCCAATCCAAACTGTATGCTAATTGTCAATCATCTTTGACGATAGTGGTCCTGACAGAAATGCTTATTTAACAGCATGATATATATGAATTTTTTTGTCTGACTAACCTGTTCCAGTAATGTTAACCTGACTAACTGTTAAGCTGTGTTCAAAAGTCAACTGTCCAGTTGTCTCCAATTGTGTGCTGTGTGCTCAGCTTTCTTGTCCTTCACAGGTCCCATACCTCCTGAGGTTCCTCCGGCCCTCTTTTCTTTGTGTGGCTACTCTGTTGTGTTCATGACAGCTTTTTTCTTGCTGTTCATGCTTTGATGACTGTCTATCCAGCAGTTGTTTGTAGGCTACTTTGTTTGTATAACACAACCTACTGCATGGACTCATGATTTCTCTCGTTCTCTCTCTCTTTCTCTGTGGGCTCTGTGCAGTCATTGCTTGTCCCAGGCAAAAGCCCAAGTAAATATGGACGTCGTGGCAGTGCCATAGGAATAGGAACCATAGAAGAGGTTCATGTATAACTCTCACTCCTCTCTCATATGCATCATATGTTCTCACCGCATGTTAACAGAATGATTGACACTAGTGTATACAATAATACACCCATTGAACAAACTATGTTTACTCCAGGGTTATTATACAGTAGTTAACTACAACTAAATCCATAAAAAGTCTTTCATTACTTTCATTACAAAAAAAAAAAAACTTAAATTGAAATAAAATATATTGAAAATTTAATTTGGTTTCAAATTTCAGTTAATTTCATTTGATATAGTAAAATAACTAAAACTAAGTAAAAAATAAAAATAAAATCTATATAGACATATTTAAAACAAAAACTAATAAAAAGGACAAAAACATATTTATAAATTTCACAGCAGTTTTTAATTGTTTTCAATTAAATATGGCATTTTATCCTGACAACATCTACAAGTCTTCATCTAACATTGTAATGACATCTTTTTCATTTTTTAAATTTCATTTGAAATAATTTTTGCATTGTATTTTTTATTTATTGCAATAATAAAATGTGGCCGATAACTGATAAATTGTCCATTTAAAATTCAATATTTTGCCTAAACAAATAAAAATACTAAATATAAAACACTAAAACTAAAATCAATCATTTTAAAAGCTAAAGTGAATTTAGGTGAATATTCATTTTGAGATTTTGAGATTAATTTAGCCAAGTATTACATTTAAAGTGTTAAATTATGAACTAAAATTATTAGTATTTTGTAAAGATGAACTTTTAAGTGAGCTTTAAAAGATGGCAAAGTTCTTCCGTAAAAGCAGAGGAAATGGGCATGCACAATTAAATATCCAATATCGGCCAATAATGATAAAATATCTTTATTATTGGCCGATAACTGATATGAAACAAATATATTGTGCATCCATCATTTTAACAGCTATCCAAGCAGATATTCATGCCATACTATCAGGTCTTACGAAACAGGCCATATTCCTATTGTAAGCCACGTTGACAGTTAAGCATTGTTCAGTCAGAAAGTCATATTGGACATTTTTATATCCGTTGCCACTGTTAAAATGATCCATGTACATCTATGTGTAGCAGCATTGTTTCAGTGTTTATGTTCATGGTGAAAAGTCACAGATTTCATCATAGCTCCCCTTTCAGCATCACTTCCTGCAAGTAATGCATCGCTCTGCTGCGTTTTTAATGTCCAATGTTATTTCTTGTCGTGTAGTAGTATGTACTATTCGGTGTATTTCTGTCCCCTCATCTGATAATTGTACACTCTTTGCGAGCTAATAGCATAGAAACACAAAGGAAAAAGGCAGCAGAGTCTTTCTGAAGCCTTTGAAGCCATTTTAGATAAAAGCCTTTTTGAAGGTCTTTCATTTGAAGTCATAAAGCAGTAGCTGTAAAATCCCAGCGCTCAGGCTTGAAGAGAACAAAGTGTCCCCAGCGAGAGCACAGCGCCCAGTGAAGCTCAGAAGATCCTGCTCCCATCTTTCATCTCTCAGTTCAGGCCGAAACCCTCAAGCACACACTTCACATCCACCTTGCCAGTCAAGATACGAAACAGTGTCTTTTGTTCTCAAAAAGACTGGAGCACGCCACAGATAAAATAAATAATAGATCACAATTGTAAGTGGTATAACATAGACCTGACCTATAGAGGATCCATTATCATTAAAGTTTCCTTTGAGACCACATGGTGACCATCACAGTGTGAAGGTGTTTCTGTATGAATCCTTGGCTCACTGATCTTCTTGTTCTTGTTCCTACAGTCTTTGATCATTCCTGGAAAAAGCCCAACTAGGAAAAAGTCAGGACCCTTTAGCTCTCGACGTAGCAGTGCTATCGGCATTGAGAACATCCAGGAGGTCCAGGAGAAGAGGTAAGAGGTTAAATGAAGCCTTAGTGAGCATAAGAATCTTTAAAAACAAACAAAAAGTTGTGCCAACTCCAAACATTTGAATGGTAGAGTATGTGCGTGTTTGAGTGAGAGCAGGGCTCAACAATAAGAATCACATGATGGCTCAGGCCAGTTTGAGAGAGATATTAATAGAGTTGTCAGTATTGACAGAATGGTTATATTTCCAAAAATCTTACATTTATTGATCATGCACATGTACATGCAAAAACAATACAATACTTGTACATGTATGTATTTAGTCTTTTTTACTGGCAAGATAACATTTAATTAAAATATAAGAGTTAGTGCCCATTCACACCAAGAGCAATAAAGATGTAGTTTTCAATATCATTTTAAATTTAAAAGAATAGCAGAGTCCACACCACAACTCTAATGATAATGACACAGTGGAACGATATTATTGGAGTCACTTTCAAAACGATTTTTTTCCAGCTGATGAACGCTAAAAACATTCAACACTCAAAACAGAATCCAACTTGCTTTAAAGAGCTTGTTTATTTAAAGCAGCGCATGGCATGATTGCAGCCTGTGCTTATAATAAACAGAACAATATTGTGTGTGGACACTAATATAGTTATCGTTATAGTTATCTTTAAGTTATCGTTCTTGGTGTGAACAGGCCTTTATTGGCAGAACATAAAGCATAATATTACAACTGAACTCCCTCCTTTTGTGTGTGTTTATATGTTTGGTGAAGAATTGCTGCTCTGTTGTCAGAGGACAGGACAGTGCTCTGTCTTTCTCTACCCAGCGTCACTCTCAAGAATGGGAGGCTCGTCGTGGATCCTTCCAAGTATAACTGCCACCATAGAATGACACCTCTTTAACCATAGAGTAGCTGCTTACCTGGCCATAGAAATGCATCTGAAATTATATGAATTATGGCCTTTAGCACATTATTAAACTGGTCACGCATGCAAAATCAACATGCTAACTGATTGGTGGTCTGCTGATTTTTCAGCCAATCAATAATGTCTGTTTTACTGATTTTGCATGAACTGGCCTTTGTCATATGTGCTGTAGTACTTACAGGCCCTTTGAATGATGTTGCTCTGAATTCATGTGTTTCAGTGTAGTGATGTGAATCGGCATGTACTGTTGTATCGAATCTAACCTAACTTAACTCTGAGTAGACTGCAGTTGGACTCGGTAACCTCACCTTTGATGTGTAGAGTTGCACAATGCTTATGCTGCCCTCTGATGGTGAGTGTGTGTGTCTGCAGCAGTAGAGAGTGCTCTCCCAGTACACAGAAGACTCCTGACAGTGGCCACGCCTCACAGGACCCCAAGTCTGAAAACTCCTCCAATCAGAGCTCTCCTGAGGTCCTCATCACTAAGAACAGGTAAAGTGAAAAGCATTAACCTGAGTGATGATTGATTCGATTTTTTCACATATATCAGTGTGGATCAGACTATAAATTTGCCTTAAACCATATTTTTATGTCTTAAGGGTTGATTTCAACTTTTTGTTATATGAAGATCAAAATTCTTTTGGAATTTTTATTTACCATGACTTTATTTATTTTTGCTATATTTCAGATGTATTTTAATGTATATGTTTTATTTTTCTCTTTCTTTAGTTTCCATCTTAATCAATGAAAATGTATTTATAAGAGAATGTGAAATGATTTGTACACAATGATTTATTTTTGAAAATCATTATTTTATTGACAATATTACGTTTAATAAAATTAAACAGTTATAGGCATATATTGAAAATTGTTGTGACCATTTCCACAACGACAAACAATTTTGCCCCATAAGATTTTTTCAAATGTTAGTGTACTTGCTTATCAAGGAGACAAACATGTTAATGAAAAGCATCCTTGAGATAATGAATAAGGTCAAAAAAAATTATAGTGTGTTTTGTCCAGTTTTCTCAAATATGCAAAACATGAAAAATATTATGTAAATGTACAGTTTTAGGTGCATAAAATAATAAAATATCATTACCATCACTTCAATAATTTTAGATGTGGTGGAAATGTTTGAGAAAAAAGGCTGAAAATATGTCCACTGTTGGACATTGTTAGACAAACTGAACTAGTGAAACACCCTATTAGTGTTACAGTTCCCACTGCATTTACCTGCATGCAAGAGAGTCATTTTGTTTTATTTTCTTGCCAAAATCAGTTTTTACTCACATTTGGTGCTTGATAGGGTTTGCTATTGAACACTTGCTGTGTGTTTTGGTGGATGCAAGTGATCTGACAACAAGAACTATAGGCGTTTCATGCTCGTTATGGGTGAAGGCATTAAGAACGTGTGTGTGTGTGTGTGTGTGTGTGTGTGTGTGTGTGTGTAGCTCAAACATGTACTGCCGGGCTCCCTCCATTCCTGAGGCTCATGATCTGTCCCGCTCCTCATCTAACGCCAGCAGCTTTGCTAGTGTGGTAGAGGAAAATGAAACAGAGGCCACAGAGGACTACGACACTGGCATGGTGAGAACAGCACACTTGTCATTAATGCATTACAAATAATGAACATCTCTAGAAACTACACAGTCATTGCATGCAAACTGTGTCAGGGATAAGTATTTGTGGAGATCACCACTTTAAGAAAAAAAAAAACACTTAGACAAACTTCATATGTTTTGTCATGTGTGTGTGTGTGTGTGTGTGTGTGTGTAGCTCAAACATGTACTGCCGGGCTCCCTCCATTCCTGAGGCTCATGATCTGTCCCGCTCCTCATCTAACGCCAGCAGCTTTGCTAGTGTGGTAGAGGAAAATGAAACAGAGGCCACAGAGGACTACGACACTGGCATGGTGAGAACAGCACACTTGTCATTAATGCATTACAAATAATGAACATCTCTAGAAACTACACAGTCATTGCATGCAAACTGTGTCAGGGATAAGTATTTGTGGAGATCACCACTTTAAGAAAAAAAAAAACACTTAGACAAACTTCATATGTTTTGTCAGTATGCCTGCTAGAGCAATTTGTTGTATTTGTCTCATTCAGGAGAGTCTGTGGTCAGCAGATACTCCTCATAAACGAGACTCGTTCACGTACAGCACATGGCTGGAGGACAACATGAGCACTACCGGTACAACCAGCAGGGGGAGCTCTCCTGGTGAGAGAAACAAGCTGTACAAAATAGTTTCACTCACACACTTATCATGGTCAGAAAAATAAAACAGTGGTATATTTGTGTAGTAGTGTAGCTTTCCATTAACTACATGGTCTTATTTTTTCAGCTCCTGGCAAAACGGATGGTGGAAAGAACCAGGAGCAGAACCGTACAGACATCCGCTTTAAACTTGAGCGACCAAATGACCACAAGTCCACATCGGTGAGTCTTACTAATCTAGTCTATGCATAGTGAATTTTAGTGTTGTATCTGCTTCAGTGTGAAGCTATAGCTACTATTAGTAGCAGTGTACATATTATGCATACAGTTTGCACATAAAGGATGGCAGCTTCTTTAGTCAAGTATTGGGCAAGTGTGTACACTCTGCCGCTCTGTACTTTTGTCTGTCTTAGTGTTAATTTTGTCAGCCATTTTAAATTTAGTCTTAATCTTTTAAATTAATCTTAGTCTTAGTCAAATATGCACTCCAGTAATGTTTATAAAAGCTACTTAAATGTCCTAATTGAACTATGACTTAATCCTTGCTTAATCTAAGGCCAGTCTGTGAAACCAGGCCTAAATGTCTGAGCATTTTCAGCATGCTGTATAATGGTTAAACTGATAAAAATAATATTTTCACATTTCAGGTATTGCACTTTTTACCAGTAAGCACAAACCAACAGAATGTGAACTCATACACATGGTTTATTTTACCTCATCTAGTGTACTGATTTATTTTAGGCTATTTAATATATAAATTATTATCAAAGACTTAGATATGCACTTTCTCTATCTACATTATGTAATCTGGTAAAAACGAACTAAAAATAGTATAACAGTGAAATTCATAATAGTAATTCCAAATTGCAATAATGATTCTCTATTAAAACAACAGTGGTTGAGTAAGTGCATTTATTCAGCTACCACAATTGCAAACAAAATAGTCAAGATCTCATGACAAAACACAGACTGGCTGAATGACACTTTCATTTAAGCTGAACATCTCACATGGAGATTGCTAAACTTCAGCTTACTTGTTTGACAGTGTTTTCAGATCATTGTCAGCACTTCCGCAATGAAAAACGAGCGCATGCGCATGGTTGCCAGATTGCAAAAATTAAGCAAAACACCGGGCAGAAAATGTATCCTTTTAACAGAGAAGCTCTGATTTGGGGATTTGAACTCTTAATATCTGGCAACCGCACAGATGAACGCTCGCCTAGTAGAGGCACGTACAGCAATCCGCAATAATGTTTTGTCTCCTTTTTTTCAATGAAAATAAAAAGAGATTTTTGTATAGTTTTTATTTTTTTAAATACATTTTAGTCGTGTCTTTTATCATCAACGATATGGCATGTTGATATAGTCACAGTTATCATTTATTGATCTTGTCATCTCATCATTGTCTTGTTTCAGTCATGGGAAAGAAGCTCATCAATTAACATTTTTTGTCATAGTTTTCGTTAATGAAATTAACACTACAGTGTCTGTTGTAACTCTTTTACTGTGTGTGCATCTGTGCAGAACTGCTAGCCCCTCCTGCTTGACTGCCTCATGGACATCCATCAGCAGGTTAGATATACTGTATCTTGACTTAATTAATTTTCTTTCATCAACTAAAGATGTAATGTCATAATCTGTATCCTATATTATAATATTATGACTCTCTTTTAAAGTTCTGCAAGTAAATGATAATAAAAATTTTCAGTAACACTTTTGATTAGGGAGCACATATTCACTATTAACGAAGAGTTTTCCCTCGATAAACTAAATATTTGCTGCTTGTTAATAGTAAGGCAGTTGTAAAGTTTAGGTATTAGGTAGGATTAAGGGATCTAGAAAATGGTCATACAGAATAAGACATTAATATGTGCTTTATAACTACTAATAAACAGCCAATATGTTAGCAATATGCATGCTAATAAGCAAGAAGTTAATAGTGAGAATTGGTCCTTAAAATAAAGTGTTACCAACTTTCCCATAATAGGAAAAGTGGTGCATATTTTGGATCTTTTACATGTGAATGATGCTATTTTGTATGGCAAATTTCAGAAAACTTGCAGAACATAGACTACCTAACTGTTTTTCAACCGAAATCATGGAAAATATTTCGAGTTATTGTTAATGTTTTTAAAATTTGCCAAAATTATGAATAATTGGTAAATAAATTTGGTAAATGCAACCTCTGTCTCAGTACCTGAACATTTCAAATGTATTGTTTTTTGCTCGGCAGCCCATAATGTTTTTTAAAGTGAAATATATGTGTGTGTGTGTGTGTGTATATATATATATATATATATATATATATATATTAATTTACACTACTGTTTAATAGTTTGGGGCCAGTAAGTTTTTTATTTTAAAGGAATTAATACTTTTTTTCAGCAATGATGCAGTAAATTGATCAAAATTGATAGTTAAGACAGTTTTTAATGTTACAAAAGATTTCTGTTTCAAATTAATGCTGTTCTTTTACGTTCTATCTTTCAAAAAATGTATCACCTTTTCCACAAAAATATTAATCAGCATTATTGTTCAACATAGATAATGATAATCAATGTTTCTTGAGCACCAAATCAGTTTAATAGAAGGATTTCTGAAGGATCATGTGACTCTGAAGACTGGAATTTGCCAACACAGGATTAAATTACTTTTTTAAATATATTCAAATAGAAACTGTTATTTTAATTTGTAATAATATTTCACAATATTACTGTATTTTTGATTAAGTAATGTAGCCTTGGTGAGCATAAAAGACATAAATAAATTATGAAAAGAACATTTTTAATTGATAATGTATGTAATGTAGTTTATGCAGTGTATATGACAACTCTAATGCATATTTAGTTTGTTGTTCATGCTACTGCAGTGTCAGTGACCTGATTATTGTCCCAAACCTTATTATCCAAACAGTATTTCCACTAGAAACACCTTAGAGAGAAAAGGAGATCTTGATGAAGAAGAGGACGACGACAACGGTTGGCTGACAACATGTACATGGCCCAGAACCACAATCGTGACCATATCTCCATCAGGACACTGTCTACCCTCGCAGACTTGACCAGAAACAGGAAGGAGTTGGTTACAGGCAGCCAGAGACTGTGCATTGGCCCTCCTTCCAACTTGTCCTTCACCCTCCTTGTGAGTACATCAGTAAATGAATGAGAACCTCCTCTGTAGCAGCATCTACTGATAGGCCACTGTGCTGATGAGTGGCTAAACTAGCAGGTTATTTGAGGTCCTAACACTGTGCTGAAATTCAATTCTGCGAAGTTTATCTCCTAAAGAACATTTCATCTGCTTGCACGACAAATGCTTTTTCAGCTGTCCCAAATGGTGGACTCTGCTACAGGGATAAGAGTATGTTTCTGAAACCTAAAATGACAAATGGGACGCGATACGGTTTTGATGACTTCACTGTAAGTACAGTACACATCAAATGTGCTATTTGGCATAGGGCTGTAGAGACCAAACCATTTATCATATTCTGATATTGATGTTCTGTCGTTCAGATTTCAGTTGTGAAAACCTTTAATCTGATATTCATTGCAGCATTGCAATACATCCTTTGGCATTATTTAAGAGTAACAGCACTCAAAAAGTTTTCCTGCAAAGAAAAAACAAAAAAAAGTTCTGTTGCTTATCAACGATTGATAGTTCAGTTAAAATGTGCAGGATGCGCCAATATTAAAATTGTATACTATTTTGAAAAGAAATAACAAAATAAACTTTTGAAATGCTACAAGTGAATTATAATGCACAGTGTGAGAATGGATATTCATTTTGAGATTTGCTAAAGATTACATTTAACAATGTTATTAAATTATATATTTTTTTAAAGATAAACTTTAAAGGGGTCATATGATGCAATTTAAAATTTTCTTTTCTCTTTGAAGTGTTACAAGCTCTTGGTGCATAAAGAAGATCTGTAAAGTTGCAAAGACTAAAGTCTCAAATCCAAAGAGATATTCTTTATAAAAGTTAAGAGTCAACCACGCCTACCTAAAACGGCTCGTTCTAACACGCCCCCACATGTCTACGTCACGATGTGGCAAGATTTGCATAATGCCACCCAAATGTTCACGCAAAGAAAGAAGGCGTAACTTTTATTCTTGCTGTAGTATTGTTGCCGCTGTCGCCATGTTGTGAAGGCACTGTGTGATTCGTTGTGAAAGCGAAACTACTTTGTTTGGTCTTCCAAAAGAGGAAGATATCCGCTTCGTCTTGCCTAGAGCTGATCCATGCTGGTCGATGAGGAAATATATCAACTTCGCGCGGTGAATCGCCGGATCGGCTTTCACCGTGGACGAAGCGGAGTCCAGCCCGCGTTTGATGATGGCAAAGGTAATCTAAAAGGAAAAATTGTGTAAAAAAAAAAGCATGAACAATTATATATCCAGTATCGGCCAGTACTAATGAATTAAAACATTTCTAATATCAGCTAATAACTGATATGGTACTGATACTGTACACTGTGCTTATATATATATATATATATATATATATATATATAGCGAGAATTTCTCAAAATTGAGCGAATGATGCATATGTCAGAAACTGGAGAGTGCCGTTACTCTTAAATAATTTATTTATCTGCCATTATCACTTGTGCATGAGAGAAATGGGGCATTTTAATGAGTGAGTCAATGAAAATATTCACATTTGATTAGCATCAAAACATGACTGTTTTCTGAAGTGTGACAGACGCCCTCGGAATATATATTACATTAGACATTGGAGGTGCCTTACCTTACCCTCAAACAGATAAGAAGTTCAGCCATGTCAGTGTTACAACAACAGTGAGTTAATATACTAATTCGGCTTATTTTCCTGACCAGCTAACCAAGCAGGACTAACCATAAGTCATGGTTTATGCTCAGCTTTGTTTCACCAATTCGATATGTTGATTGTTTATCTGTTTGCCACTTAAGCAGCTCATGATCAGGGCTGCAGGGTCTTGAGTTTTGTTTCTTATAGTGACTTTTTTTTCCAAAGCAAATTTTTTTCCAAACTGTATAAAAATCCCCAGTGGAGATCCTTTTCCTTATGTTGACTCATTTCAAACCGGCTTCTTTGCTTTGTGTTTGAGCGTACAGATGGTTTGATGTCTGAACTGTGTGCCAAGGTGACAGTCCTCTTTTAAACACTCAGTCTTGACAGAAATTGAGTTAAAACAAATGTGCTGTTGCTAATCTATAAACCAATCGTTAATGCCAAAAATCAGTCAATGTGATGTTTGCTCTTTGTTAAAGGAAAAAATAATTGAATGGAGCTTAAATATGGCAGAGTGGTTTGAGGTTGCCTTACTGTAAGTGTCAAATTATATGAAGGGGAAAGCTTAGCAGAATTTTTTTGTAATCTATTTATGATAAATGATTGGCCTTAGTGGCTTCAATTAAACTAGTCCTCATTGCTGATCCATGTTTGTTTTACACATTACACATAACTGATCCATCCTGATAATACACTCAGACATTGGCTGTGTCTGAAACCTGAAAAATGCTTTGCAGGATCCTGTGGATCATGACATGACTGGCATGCAACGGCTGCTGAAAATTCAAATATAAAATTATATAAAATTTTAAAATATATAAAAATAGAAAACAGTTCTTTTAAATTGCAATAATATTTCACAATATTACTGTTTTTGCTGTATTTTATCAAATAAATGTAGCCTTGGTGATCATAAGACTTATTCGAAAAAGAAAAAAAGCATTAAATAATCTTGTGTCTGAAAGCAGTTTCATTATGCCTATGAAGTTTTAGACTGATTAGGCAGCTAACTGAGGTTTTGGACTCAGCCACTGTGAGATGTTGCATTAAAAAAGAAATAATATTTGGGTTATTTTTTTGTGTTTTATACCAGACTAAAAGGCTGTACATCATCACAATAACTACAGAGAATTACTAACACCCTAAATACAACCCCTAGAGGTCATGGGATCAGTTGTGTACCAATAAAAAAGTACTCAAGTATGTTGGAAATATGGTTTTAGTCTGCTTTTGTTTGCGCTGTGCAGGGTTTCTGTGCCCCCTTGTGGTGAGTCATGATTCTAGCACCGTTTATTTGCAGTGTCCATGTACATGACTGTAATTGCTGTTCCTGTGCAGAAGTCAAATTTGTCTGGGGAATAAAAGATGCGGCACAAAATCCTTGCTGATGACAGGGTATGAATTTTTAGACATTGTTATGCTTTCCTCTTAGCTGCTGCTTCTGTGACCTTTTCCTGTGCAATCATCATTGTAAATACTGCTTTTTTGTACATACTGCCCAAGAAATCTGAAACAAATAAACTTGAGTGTGATATTTCATGGAACATATTTGTCTAGTTTCTACTTCTCAAAATTAAATGGCTGAATAGGTTGAGATATACATCAATGCGTGTGTACTTTCCTGTCAAAGCATACAGAATGGGTTTACAGCATAAGTATGAGGAATTAGGCATGTGATCTTTGTGTGGTCTACTAGCTGTATGTGGTTAATACAAAGCTTGAAATGCTATGGATTTGTTTTGTCAATTAACTTGCACATGCATACTCCACACCAGCAGAGGGCAACAATTACATAATTCAAAACATCATTTCAGTAATTAAATACTTTCAAATGCAGGTGCTGAAAACATAAAGTAATTCATAAAGGATGTAAAATAAAACAAAATCCCATGATGGAAAACATAATGTTATACAAATTCTTCGGTTGACAGACAAATCAAAACACTAGATGTTAAATTCATTTGTGCATCAAGTCTACAGTAGACATGATACAATAACAAAAAAAAAATATTAAAGATGAGAAAAGTGTACTAATAATAAATACAAATAACTAGTATGATGCTCAATAAAATGTTGTCAGACAGAGATGATGTAAATATTTTAACCTCTGTATTGTTATTGTTAAAGGGGTCATATGATGCGATTTCAAGTTTTCCTTTCTCTTTGGAGTGTTACAAGCTGATTGTGCATAGATAAGATCCCTGAAGTTGCAAAGACTAAAGTCTCAAAACCAAAGAGATATTCTTTATCAAAGTTAAGACTCTGCCACGCCCCCCTAAAACGGCTCGTTCTAACACGCCCCCACATATCTACCTCACTATGTGGAAATATTTGTGTAATGCCGCCCAAATGTTCACGCAAAGAAAGAAGGCGTGGTTTCAGGAACAGCAGTTAGTGTTGAAGCAGCCATGTCAGGGACTTTAAAAAAGCATCATATGACCCCTTTAAAACTAAAATGATTAACGTTAATTCTTGGTAGCTGAAATAAAATATAAATATTAGATAAAAATGTAAGCTTAAAAAAAACTAAATTAAAAATAAAAATTAGAGATGTTGCCACAGCAACTAACTGAAATAAGCTGAAGTACTAATTAAACCTATAAAAAATATATATAAATAAAACTGAAAATATATAAGAAAAAAACTATTCAAAATACTATTTTGTGTGCGTGCGTGTGTGTGTGTGTGTGTGTGTGTGTGTGTGCACGTTTTTATGATTTATGAGGACACAAATTTGTATAATGACATGGGTATGACATAGGTATTACAACGAGAAGGTGATTTATGAGGACATTTTGAGTGTTCAGAATGAGGTTTTTTTTGAAAATCTAAAAATGCAGAAAGTTTCCTGTAAGGGGTAGGTTTAGGTGTAGGGCGATAAAAAATACGGTTTTATAAAAAACATTACACCTATGGTATGTCCCCACAATTCACAAAAACAAACCTGTGTGTGTGTGTGTGTCCGTGGTGTTATTGTGTTCACTTACGATATTATAAAAACATAAAAATGTAACAGATTTGATATTACTGGCTATACCAACCCTAATAGTAAGAAGAAGAAAAAAGCTATGCTGTCAAAACAATACTAAAATAACATTGCATCATACAGGATACTTTCACGTTGATATACAATATCTACAATTAATGAATACTTGTTCCAATATGCCTACTATGTGTGCACAGGGTCAGAGGTGGGATGATGATGTGGACAGATGTCAGACACAGCTGGTAAGGTGTGAGGGTGGCCATGAATCAGAGTTTGGAGGAGACCAATTCCCTTTTCCAGCTCTTGTAAAGCAGTGCTGTTCTCCCAACCCCCCAACTGTGAAAACTGTTCCCAGGGTCAGAACACAGACTTACGAGCAGCGCCTGTCAACACGGCTCTGATGACTAGAGCTGATGACAGTTTAGAAATAGAACAGTGGAATAAAAGCAGCATGATTGTGCACTTATTTACCCTTTTGCACTGGCGGTGCATTATGCTGATTCCTTAGGCTTTGTAAAAGTAGACTTAGCAGGATGTTTTCTGTTTATAATACGCATACCAGTGAACAGTACAAACTAGTGCAAATCACATATCACGATATACTATTTGAGTTCGGTACATTCTTCGATTACATAACAAATCTCATACTGTCACAGAAAGGCCAGACTGCCCATCTACATTACATCTTCCAAACCTGTTGACCCTGTTATGACGTGATCTCCTGGTACATGTGAAACTAATAAGCCCGGCTGTTCTTCTTTCTAGGTTTGACCCTGACTTAAAGGAATATCATGGGTTCAGCAAGAGTTACGCTCAGTCAACAGCATTTGTGGCATAATGTTGATTACCACAAAAAATATTTATT